GGGAAAGGGCTGCCCAGCTCACTTCTGCTCCAGAACTCTCCTCCTGCCGCAGCCCCATGGCCCGGCAGCTGAGATAGCCACACTCTTAGCTTCGTTATCTTCACTTCAGGACTAACACCAGCTCCCAAATGTGGGGCTTGTTCTGTGGAGCTGCTTTGGGTCAGAGCTTCAAAGGTCAGGGGCAGCTAGGAGGTAGAGGACATTAGCCGTGGAAGGGAACAAAGCAGAGGTGGGAAGATATTATCATTAAGCATCCCAGGTAACATCCTGGGCTCTCCTGGGCTCTGAGCGGTGCGCTCTCTCTGTTTGCAAAATCTGCTCTAGGCACTTTGTCTCCACTCAGCCTGCAAGCCCTGGGCTGTGAATGAGGAGGCTCCACTCCCCTCTCACTCTGCCCCATTCTCTTCCAGTCTCTGGTGGGAGGAAGGAAAGAATGGCTGCAGGTATGGGCTGGTGCGGTCAATAAATAGGTACCTTACCAGGCCCTGTGCTGGGTGCAGGGATTGCACCCTGTAGGGTAAAGCGTGGCTCACCCTGGGCACCTGTAGGGAAGACACAGTGGAAGAAGACAGACAGAGAAGGCAGGCTCTCGGGCCATCGCCTTGGCAGGGAGAACATCAAAAGCGCGGTTGGCCAGAGCTAGGTTCAGGGCGGCTCTTCCTCTTGCCATTGGCCTGGGGTTCTTACTTAGCTTTGGCTCCCTCATCTGTAACGTGGGAATGATATGACCCCAACTCTAAGGGTCACTGAGCACCTAGGGACAGCACATGGGGAAGCACTCAATAGAAGTCAGTTCTCCAAGACCTGGGCTTTGTGTGTCTCAAGCTGAAATCCCACTTTGGATAGTGTCCGTCTTTGTACCAGATCTTTGGGCAGAAATGACAGTGGTGGAGCCAGTCCTCGCAGACGAGAGAACTTTCTGGACCACCCACACCTCCATACTGCCTAAAACAGAAGGTCAAGAAAACCACCTTTAGCAAAGCTTTTAAACACTTTAATCGAGGCTCTTCTGTGTTGGCGGCAAGTCCTATGGGAGTCGATGGGAAAGCACTGGAGCTCCATGCTTCAGAGGGAGGAGCACATTTCTTTGTTCACATGACAAGCCGGAGCAGACAGCACACTGCATTTCTTCACTCCTCACTGCCCATTTCTATTCATAATGCTTGGTCGTGACAACTCCATCATATTTTTAAAAATATATATATATTTTTATTGATTTAAGAGGAAGGAAAAGGGAGAGATAGAAACATCAATGATGAGAGAGAATCATCGATGGGCTGCCTCCTGCATGCTCCCAACTGGGAATCGAGCCCACGACCGGGCAGGTGCCCTGACCAGGAATGGAACCGTGACCTCCTAGTTCATAGGTGAACGCTCAACCACTGAGCTATGGCAGCCCTCTCTGCCCCATCACACTCAGTCCCCGCTGCCCTTGTCCTCCATGCCCTCTTCAAGCACCGCTCCTGGGTTCGCTGCCCATTATTGATTGGCATGCAGGTGACGTTTACTCGCCAGCCTTGTTCTAGGTGCCTCATTGTGTTTTCGTTCTCAGCCATGTCTTAGGAAGAGGGGGTGGCAGAGGGATAAAACGAATTGTTGTTGATGGTGGTAGTTGCACACAACCACATATATGACAACACGGCAAAAGACTGTGCACACACATTGTACCGAGGACAATTTCCCGGTTTTGAAATGGTACTGTAGTTGCGCAAAATGCAACTATTGGGGGAAACTCAATGAAGGCTTCGTGGGGACTCTATGTATCATTTTTTCAACTTCCTGTGATTCCGGAGTTAATTTAAAATAAAAAAGTTAAAGACCATCTCACAAGCTAGATGCAGCAATAAACAGATCTGTGGACATGTGTCAAGAGCTAGCTTGTGAGTGACCATGGGAAGCTGAAAGCTCTCAGGAGCCCCGAGCTATGGCATTTAAGGATAAAGAGTCCCTTTGCCTCAGTTTACCAACCTAATCTAAGCTACCATTGTTGATCGTGTCCTTCATGATTCCTGAGAAAGATGCTAAAATAAAAGAAAATGCCTGGCATCTTTACCCATGTCCCAGATTTTCAGTGGGTGGCCGGGGCCTTGAACTAGTGAGTTTCTGCCTTCCAGTGATTCTGCTGTGGGCCTGGTCTGAGCTGCATGGTCTCTGCAGCTGCCCTCCCAGGCTGTGCTCCTGGGAGCACACCTCTGCGCCCAGTGGGGGGCGGCAGCTCTCCTCAATAAGCAAGCAGGGTTCACATGCTCTGCCTCGCGCTGCTCAGCCCCGTGGTCTCTAGAAAGTAGGGCTGCGGAACGCAGGGGGAGGTGGACTTGAATCTTAGCCTCCACGCTGCCTGCAGGGGGCCTGGGTGTTAGTGACTGTCTTGGAAGGTCATCTTCTTATAGATCTTTATAGCCGGTTATGGTTTGTTTTCTAAGTTCTTCCATTGCTTTTCAAAGATAATCTATAAAGGAAATTCTAACCACGCTCAACTGTAGAACCTTGTGCCCAAAAGTGTATTTCATTCTAAACATTATTAAGTAAACTATCCAACTGAGAGAACAGTTCAGAAACCACAACCACCCAAAGACCGGGTCACACCCAACAGTGCCCTCCAGCCCAGGGCACCTTGGGCCTGAGGACACATCAGTGAGTGTGTCCCTCATCAGAGAGCATGGCCCTGGAAGGGGCCTTCCGCGCACCTGAGGACATGTGAGGAGGGAGGAGCCTGTGGGCAGCCTCGCCTTGTGTCTTTGAGTTCTCTAACCGTGGGCTCCCTGGGGAGCAGCACCACTGAGCCAGGCCATGCGCATCCCAAACACATGTCTGTACAGAAATAGGGCCACATGTCAGGGCCCTGCTTTTCCAGAGACACAATATAAAAGATTATATTCTATAGTGTTCTTCCTTCAAACTTCATAAAAACGGAATTGACTTTGGTATCACTACCCTTTAGACAAGGGCAAATTTGATAGTCCATGCCAAGAAAAAGTTTTCTGGGGGTAAAAGTTCAAAACCCTCTGTTTCTGGTTATCCGTCCTTGGAAAGCAATGTAAGCCAGCCCAATGGTTTTGCTTCTACAGTTTCAGTGGTTTTGTTTCTATAGTTGCAGGGCCGCAGTACCTGACCACATTACTTTTTCTCCTTTGAGAGAACTCCGGTGAATGAATGGTTCCAGGCTCATTGTACCTTGTCTTTAACTTTGAAGTTGTTTCCAGTCCTTTGTGGAGGGCACAGATAGCTGTGTTAGTCACATGTGCATTCCACGCTAGCTGTCCTTCCCCTGTCACTCGGCCATTCCTCCTCTTTCCTGACTGGCCCCTCACATCGCAGCAGAGCCCGTGGGTGGGTGTCTAACATGGGGAGTGCTCTGGCTGCCAGGCACTTGGCAGGGGGTTCCTGCTAGAAAGCCCTGTAGAGGCAGAGCCCAGCACTGCAGCGAGCCTGGTTATGCCGCCTCCCTGCCTTCAGAATGGTCTGGCCTTGTGCTGTGGGAGACACAGGTGGATTATAGGCTCTAGGCCAGCCATGGGCAAACTATGGCCCACGGGCTGGATCCGGCCCATTTGAAATGAATAAAACTAAAAAAAAAAGACCGTACCCTTTTATGTAATGATGTTTACTTTGAATTTATATTAGTTCACACAAACACTCCATCCATGCTTTTGTTCCGGCCCTCCGGTCCAGTTTAAGAACCCATTGTGGCCCTCTAGTCAAAAAGTTTGCCACCCCTGCTCTAGGCTCATCCAGACTTTGCAAATATTTTCTGCTTGTAACCCAGACACAGAAATTCCTTGGAATTCAGCTCAGAGTGAGGGAGGGGGCAGCCATTGTCACTGGAATTATAGGCAAAACCATGACCCTTAAAAGCTCTGTTCCCCATGTAGGGGCCGGCCTCCGGAGGGCTAGCGCAGTCATCAAGAGTGGGGACCGATATCGGAACCCTCCAGCACAGGCCAAGCTTCCTGGGCAGTTGAAAACTCTCAGAATGGACCACATGTCTTCTCCAGCAACGAGAAGCTTGTGGTCACCGGAGTGTCCAAAACACAGCCAGCCATTTTTAAAGGCTAACTGTGTGGATCTGCATGGCCCTTGGAAGCCCAAATAAAAAGGCACAGAACCATGGCCGCTGAGCCATCGGAAGGCTGCGTGCTGCCCCGGCCATTGAGAGAAGGGCTGGGAAGGAGACACAGAAGAGCCCACAGCATAGACACCACCTGCTTTTAATCAATTGCTCCACAAACACCCCAAACGCACAGCAGATTATCCTGAAACTAAGCAAAGGAATTACAGTTTATTGAGCACGTCCCTGAGGTCAAATTGGCTAGATCCCAAAGGTCACACTGGCTGCTGCAGCAGAGCCTCGCCATGAGCCCAGGCTGCCTGCATGGACCCAGTGTCCAGGACCAACTATGTTGCTGGGGCTTCCTCGTTGTGTCAAAGCTCCCCTTCTATTAGCTCACTAAGCATGTCCTGGAGCACTATGCACTGTTCCCAACTGCCCCGAGCAGAGAGGGAGGGAAGGAAGGGAGGGTGAGGGAAGGGACGGTAAGGGAAGGAGGGTGGGAGGGAGAGAGAGGAGAGAGAGAAACATCAATTGCTTGTCTTCTGTACTTGCTCTGATTGGAGACTGGATTCACATCCCAGGTATGTGTCCTGACCAAGAATCAAACTGGCAACCTTTTGGTGCATAGGATGATGTTCCAGCAACTGAGCCACTCCAGCTGGGCAGCAGCTCACTCCGTTTGTATTTTCCAAAGGTCTCCGTGCTTGGAGCCATGTTGGGGCAATGCCAGGCAAGCACACAGTGGCCGTGGAATGTCTTGCTCCATTGGCCTCAGAGGGCCGTGAGGAAAATGGTAACACAATGGAAATGCAATCGGCACTGGCCCAGCTGTCCCACTGGTGCCAGCTGGGGCCCAGGTGGGTGTCTAGGGTTATCTCTATGGAT